TACAGGACTACCTGTCTTCCATAATATCTACCTGGCTGAATCAATCTGTCAGGGTTGGCACGGTCCAGGTTTCTCTGATTAAAACAATGCAATCTACTGAGGTCCCGGAAGCACTCCTCTGGAATTCGGTTATTCCAGATTTGAGTGACTCCCACACTGGGTGTTTCCGAAGAGCCTTGAAAACCTGGATCTTTGCCCAGGCAAAGTGTGATTTAAGCCCCTTCTTTTCCTTTGTTCCCACCTGGATCTGTTATTCCTGCCATTTTTGTTCCTTTTTATTTTGTGTTGTCTTGCTTTTTAAGTGTTTTTCATAATTTGTAAACCACTCAGACTCTTTGCAAGTCAGACAGTATATAAATAATAATAATGTACTGCTCTCCTAAATTAGACAGAGCAGGCAATATAATTCTAACATACAAGAAATACCTGTACCTTCCTGCAAACTTTCCAAGATGCATTATAGGGGACAGAGACTTGGTGGTTAAATGCAGCACACAACAAATTCAGTACAGTAGGAAGTGGCCTTTGAGATCATTTGATTCCAACCCCTGCTTGGACTGGGAAGCATTAGAACTTCACATTATCCTAATTTAAACAAAGTATGTGAAATAGTTCTATCAATATTCACTATATGCAACCCAAGGACCTGAATTGGTTTTTAAGATTTATGTATAGCTATGCACATAACTGGGGCATCAAGAGTTCAGCTACACACAACAATCTTTATTCTCAAGCAGTAACAGTTTTGTTTTGTTGTAACTAATCAAATGACTTGCCAAATATTAGTTTCAGTTTTTGACTAGTCACAGTCACATTAAAAACATTAGGTGTCTGCACTGCACTATGTGAATGTCATGTTTGGTTTGCAAGACAATACTAATTGGATTGTAGTTTCTTCCAAAGGATCCTTGGAAAATAGGATTACAATTATATAGTTCCTGCCTTTTTTAAATATCTGCTTCTTTTATCCACTCTTTTTCCAGCATTTGTTTTCTATATACTTTCTGAGAACTAACATTATGTAGCTACTGATATCTTTCTAAGATGTTTTCTTTTTTTGTAGTCCCAAAGGTGCTTTTTCAGGAGGCAACTGGACTTTGTTTTTTTCCTGTAGTCTGCAACCAGGAGCATTAATCAGGTGACCTTGAGGACACATAAACTTCCAAGTGCTTCAATGACACTCTAAAACAGGGGTCCCCAAATTTGGCAACTTTAAGACTTGTGGACTTCAACTCCCAGAATTCCTGAACTAACATGACTGGAGGAGGAATTCTGGGAGTTGAAGTCCACAAGTCTTAAAGCTGTCAAGTTTGAAGACCCCTGCTCTACATACTCTATTTTTGTAGTTATTAGTACGCACAAGAGAAAGCAACAGTTTTAATGCAGTACTACACAAATACAGTACTGTAATAACCAACAAATAAGCTGGTTACAAATAATTGGAGCTACTAGTCTGGAACCATTAATTTGGGAAATATGATCTAGACTAACCTTGATACATGGAAGATGGTGGAAGAAATGTTTGCTTTTTCTACTTTGTACCTTAAGGCTTAACTGATGTCTGTCGGTTGGAAAACAGCAGTGCTAATATGCAGGTTTCCTTTCTTGCAAGGCTGACTAGCAGTTGCATCAGACAGTTTTACCCAGGTGGTAAACATTAACAGGGATTTGAGAAGAGCAGACAGTGAAATAGATTCCTCATCACTTTTTATTAGGAAATATGTGTCAGTTAAATATTGTGTCCTGCAAAATGAACTGGGGGAAAGGAGAAAAATGCAGCAGAAGTGGGCACTTATACTACAATCATTTTTTGAGGCACTCCTATAGAGATGCAGTTTTATTTTTAAAAAACTAGGCACAGTGCATGTAATATGTCATATCACCAATAGGTTGATGACGCACATCTATATATCTCTGTCCCGGGTGAAGTAAATGTTGAAATGTGTGAAGACTATAGGGCCGTGATGGCAAACCTATGGCACGCATACCGGAAGTGGCATGCAGAGCCATCTGCGGGCATACGAGCTGTCGCCCTCAGTTCCACTGTGCATGCGCGCATGCCTCCTGCCAGCCAGCTGATTTAAGGGTATGAGTGGGGGGCAGAGTGTATGCAGGTGTGTGTGCATGCACAGGGGGGCAAGGGGAGCACCGCGGGGTTCTGCATGCATGGGGGGAGCACGGGGGGGGTTGTGTGTGCTATGCATTATGGGTGCAAGCACATGCATCCACTTTTAGCACGCAACAACTAAAAGGTTAGCCATCACTGCTATAGGGGTTTGGATGAGGAACAACAGACTTCAGCGAACCCTGATAAGACACAGTGGCTGTGAATGGGGCCCTCTATATCCAGGAGTTTATTATCTTTGGTCTTGAATGGGGTTGCACTGCTCTAGAAAGACCCAGGTATGTAACTTGGGGTTCCTCTTGGATTCATGTCTCCTGCTCAAAGAACAAGTGGTGGCCAGGATGCCCTTTGCCCTATTCCGTGTGTGCCCAAATAACATCCTTGCCTGGACTGGGAGTCTATATCTGGTCATTTATGCGCTGGTCATCTCCTGATTGGACTATTACAACACTTTCTACATGAGGCTCCCCCTTAAAAGTATCCGGAAGCTTCAGCTGATTCAGAATGTGGCTGCATGAGTCAAACTGGGTGTCCAAATTAGGGCAGATATAACACTCTTGTTCCGTGAACTGCACTGGGTACCAGTTTGTTTCCAAGTCTAATTCAACAGGTTGGCCATCACCTATAAAGCTATCTACAAAACTAGCTTTGCCAAATCTCATCAGCCCTTCTGGCTGATTAGGCATGGAAGGTATGCTACAGAGCTGTCAGTCAAATAATTTTGACTGGTGGGGAATAAGAAGAGAGACTTTGCCACCGCCCTTGGTGTGAAAAGCCCCAGTGGGGAATACAAAGGACTGTGCAACCATGGGGCTGGCTAGTCCGTAAGAATCCCCCTTCCTGTAATAATCTTAACACCATATGGCCATTTTAGTATTCCGCCCTCCTTTTTTATGTTTGTCATTATTCTTTTTAATTTTGATCTTTTTAACCCTAATTTAATTTTTAATTTCTAATGTTAATTTTTACCTTCCTTGAGGGTGATGGGTCATTTAGAAATATGAAATATAAATAAATAATAAATAGTCTGTTAATGGAAACAAAAGCAACATATTTGTAATTTGTTCTGTTTTTCTGATGGCTTTCTACATTAAATTAGAAGTTTTATTTTAGCTAACTCAGTTACACATATAGTATACGTGTCTGTGTGTAACAGTTGTGTAATACAGTATTAAATTACTAGAATGCGCCACTTGATAAAAATCTGGTCTTTTTGTTAGATCAGACCACTCTCTTTCTGATCACTTGCTCTGTCCAAGGAATTTTCATGCTAAGGGGAAAAAATACATAGTATTAGAATAAAGAAATTGGAAAACAGCTCAATGGCGCATGAAGCAGCTATTGGAGGTGAGGGTTGTTTTTTTAAAAAACAAGCAACACAAGCAATGCTGATTTCTGGTTTTTAGTTTAACAATATAATGAGTTTTGCATTCTTGAATGATTTCTGACTAATTTTCTGGAAGTCTGTACAGTACAATCATTGTTCTCAAATTCTAACCTTGGAAGGGTTGTATCCTGCAGAGATAAAAACATATGTTTCTTCCCCAAACCCCAAAAACTTTAACCTTAGACTGTCTACTATTGACATCACCCCTTTCCTAAGAGGTCTGTAGGGGACGTGCATAAGCGCACCAACGTGCCTACCGTCCCTGTCCTATTGTTTCTCTTATTCTTTTATTTTCTTATATGTACCTATTTCATGTATTCACAACTATGTATACACTTATACTTATTATCTTGTAAACAATTGGCAAATCAAATAAAATAAATAAAAAAATAAAATAAATAAATATGCCTCTACATATACTGCTGTATTACAACCCTCAGAATATTTTATCATTGGCCATTTGGCAAAAGTTACTGGAAATGGAAACTTTAAAGCCAGTAGTAGACTTAGCAGACCGTAAAACAGATAATGATTTGTAAAATATCACAGGGATGGAAAATCTGCACATTCATCCTGTATCAAGAAAGATTAACGTTCAAACCTCTTAGCAGCTACTATCAACTAGTTTGCTACCTGCTTTCCTGTTACAGAAGAACTTACAGATGTCCCAGCCTCATGTTACATTAAATCCATTCCAAGCTACAGATAACCCAAATAGTTTTAATGTGCAGTGAAAATCCTGCTAATTTTCAAATCATGCTAATCCTAGGACCATGCACATAACCATCCCATACTCTTCCACGTAAAATGCCTTAGTCTCAAATTCCAGTTTCACAAATCCAAAATGTCAGGCATTCTAGGCATGGATAATAAGCAAAGTAAGCTTCCAAACCTGACTACTGGGTGGAGTAGCATAATAGCACATGTATTCCCAATGCTTAACTCAAGGATATAGCTTAATGGTTAAGGGAAGTTACTCCTTATTTTGTTCTTCATCTTCATCAGGTTAAGCAGGTTTGGCCTATCCATACGATGCTTCCTCCAAGAAAGAAAGAAAAAATATTTTGTCTAATTTACTGTCAGTTTTCCTCTTGGTCTAGAAATCAGCTAAGTGATCTGGTTTACACATTTTCCTAAACTGTAATGTAATTGGTTTAAACAGTATAATTTTAAATCATGGTTTATAGTTTTATTATGCAAACCCAACAGATGAGGTGTGTATTGAATCGTAATTAAAGGCATCTTACTTAGCATAAGAGACCAATCTGGTCAGACAATGAAAGTAAATAGCTGGAATTAAGGGATATATTTGGTTTCAGTGCATTATTTGAACTTGGTCAATACACAAATGTAATTTAAGCAAGCAAAATTACTTAAATATGTGAATCCAGTCATACAATCTCAATTTAATCTGCTCAGCATTACAATTATTGCAAAGCTGCTTTAAAAAAATTGCAGGACGGTTACCAAATAAAAGATAAGCAGTTGCCTTGTTTACTAGCCTAGGTTTTACCAACCACAGCCAAGCGTCCTAAGGACATATTTATGCATTTCAAACTACAAGTTGATGAAGCAAGATTTTGCTCGAAATGTCAAAAGAGTTTACAGTCCTTCAGCTTAAACTTGCTCCTGCTTTTGGGGTTTTTCGATCCTTCCCTGCTCAAATATAATATATAATTATATTATATAGTGTAATGTAATTAAAAAGGTGGGGAAAACTAATTAAGTATAATTAAGGAACACAATTAAGAAGGGGGAAATAAATTGTGTTGCCGAACCGGTATTTTTAATCGTGTACTAGCCTATTAGTTATAAGTAGCTTGGAGATGGATGGGTGATAGGATCAGCGTCCCATCTTCAATGTTGCTTCACATTCGCTTTCTCCCCAAAATTGAGCAGGGACGACCTTCGCACTCCGCGTGTATTTGCCTCTCGTGAAAAGAGGGGCAGGGGCAGAGATTGCAAACGGCGGGCGAGATCACAGTTTGAGGCACTTTAAGCAGAGCCGCTTCTTCCTCGGCGTAAGAATTCCTAACTTCCAAAGTTGAAATCGCGGCGTTAAGAAAATCGATACTTCCTGTGCTCCCGGGCGGAGTAGTTGTAACAAGAATAACTCAACGACGCTCACAGAGAAGGAGAGCCAGCGGTCAGGGCCTTTCCCAGTCGCTGTCCTCGACCCGGAGCTTCATCACCGCTGCAGCCCTCCCAGTCGCGGGTGAGTCACGGGTGGGTCACGGGAGGCTCGGCCAGCGCGGCACGAAGGCGGCGCCCCCTCCCTGCGCTTCCTCCTACGGCTAGGCCATCTGTGACGTCGGCCGGGGAAAGAGCACGATTACCTTACTTTCCGGGATCCCGAGAAGGAAGGGGCTTCAAGGCTTTCTTTTCACAGACAGATTCAGCCTGGAGGGTGATGCTCGCAGGGCTTTCCAAACTTGCCAACTTACTTGTGGACTTCAACGCCCAGAATTCTCCAACGCAGCTGCTGGCTGGAGAATTCTGGGAGTTGAAGTCCACAAGTCTTAAAGTTGCCAAGATTGGAGACCTCTGGGTGGTAAGGATCAGCGTCCCGTCCTCAGTGTTATTTCCAGTTCGCTTTCTCCCCGAAACTGAGCAGGGAAGATCTTCGTACTCCGCATGTCTTTGTCGCTAGTGAAGAGAGAAACAGGGATTCATGGGGCTTCCCACTCGCGGGGAACGAAAGCTTCAGTTTAATAAAGGCTGCTCGAGCAGAGGGTTGGACTAGATGACCTCCAAGGTCCCTTCCAACTCTGTTATTCTGTGTTAAGGCAGCATTTTGCTTTCTCTTTCTTTCTGCCCCCGCACGCACACACCTGTAGCCCTTCGGAGAAGTGCTCTTTTTGCAGCGTGAAGATATTTTTTCTCTCTCTCTCTCTCTCTTTTCCTCTCTCTCTCTCTGCCTGTGCAGTTGACCAGCATCAACGCGGTGCAGAGAAATAATTGAATTTAGAACACTACCTAATTCCCCGCAGGGCCTAAAGGGTAGATTTAGTCCAGTGTTCATATTTGTTTGCAATGTTTGGGCTCCACGTTCAAGAAAAGTCCCGTGTTTTAAATACCTCTTTGCTACTACTGAGCGTTCGGATTTCAGTGCAAGATGGTAGCTCGAACCGATGTATCTAATTTTTAGTAGCCATGGAAAACAATCCTGGTTTTTATTGAAGCGCTCAGATATTCTAAGTTTCCCTGTCCGGCAGAATTCTCAAGCAGGTTATACCAAATACATTAAAACAATACCAACCCTGTGCATGTGTACTTCGTTGGGATTTCCTATCTCTATATATTTTTCTTCCTGATTCTTAGACTCTGTCAGGACTCCTGCAGTTTTATTTTTAGGGGTGGTTTGTGGTTGGCTCCTTCCTAATACAGCCTCAACCCCTCACAGCTTCAACCTCAAACTGTCTATGGTGGATCTCACCCCATTCCTAAGAGGTCCTTAAAGGGTGTGTGTGTATAAGCGTGCCTGCTTTCTTACTGTCCCCCTTTATCTGTATTTACTTCCTTTGTTCTTGTTTAAGTTGATACCTATACTTGTTATCTTGTACATGTTTGACAAACAAATAAACAAATTAATACTGAGAGAAAGTGACTGGCCCAAGGTCAACCTGCTGGCTTTGTGCCCAGTATAGTTCTAGATTCAGAGTCTCCTGGTTTTTAGCTTGATGCCTTAATTACTACACCAGAGTGTATGTTCATATTTGCATTACATCTAGTTAGTCATATCTTATTGAGTCCTATATTCTGTGATTGCATGACTGTTGGAACCATAACACAAGCCATAGATCAGGACTTAAGGACACACTAAACAATTAATTTAAGCATGGTATATAAAATCATACATTGCAATGTCCTACCTGTCAATGAATACTTCAGCTTCAACCATAACAACACAAGAGCACACAATAGATACAAACTCAATGTTAACCGCACCAAACTTGATTGCAGGAAATACGACTTCAGCAATAGAGTGGTCAATGTCTGGAATACTCTACCCGACTCTGTAGTTTCTTCCCCAAACCCCAAAAACTTTAACCTTAGACTGTCTACTATTGACCTCACCCCTTTCCTAAGAGGTCTATAGGGGGCGTGCATAAGCGCACCAACGTCCCTGTCCTATTGTTTCTCTTATTCTTCTTTTATTTTTCTTATATGTACCCATTTCATGTATTCACAACTATGTATACACTTATACTTATCTTGTAAGCAATTGGCAAATCAAATAAATAAAATAAATAAAAATAAATAAATTAATTCACTAATACTGTAGGTCTGTACATAGGGCCAAAACAAAGGGCATATATTGAACAGCTGCACTTTCCCATAGCATCCTTGGCTGGCTCCCAAGGATGCTTATATAATCCCAGTAAAAGACACATTTGGTTTAGGTCAGTGTTTCTTAGCCTTGGGAACTTTAAGGGTGCAGACTTCAACTCCCAGAATTCCCCATGCTGGCTGTTCCCAAAGTTCCCAAGGTTGAGAAACACTGATTTAGGTGTAAGACTATAATACGCTACATGTGTACTTCAATGTACTCAGAATAATATTTTGCCTTTTGAATCTTGATCTCTGCAAAATCCTTCTGGCTCAGTGTTTTTTTTGCCAATATAGCTTTTTCCACATACATTTGACACAGTAAAGTTTTTACCCTTAATGTTTCTATGCCAAAGTGTTATTGAGAAAGCATGTTGAGCTTAATGAAATGATATAGCCTAGTAATGTTAAATGTCAGCAGATGTGCCCATTTTTTAAAGTGCAATGTCTGCTGCCTCTTAAGTTAGTTTTCATGCATTTGCACAGAACATTTCCTCTGAACTAACATCATAGCAATAGGCAATACTTTCTTTTTTTCTCTTTTCTCCTTAGCAGGGAAGCATTTTAAAAAGAATGCTGACTGAAGATCTTTTGAAGTTTGACCTACTTGTTAGTATTTGCAGGCGCGCGCACACACACACACACACACACATACACAAACCGTATTCAGCAGGAATTTGGCAATGTTTAACTGTGAAGATAATAGTTGCCATTAAAGATTAGCAATACCAGTTTGGGGAGATTTTGGAAGCCAGGGAAAAGCAGAGGCAACTGATTGAGTAAAGTTTTGGAATTGTACTTTAAATCATCAGATTAATGATTGAAATTCTGTTCAGCTGAACAACCAAAGGTCTTTTTGGTCTATATTTAGCTGCTATTGAAGTCTATAAAGATATCCAGTTTTGGCCAATTTAAAGTAACATTTGCGTTTATTCCTGAATTGCTTTTGGAAAACAAGACGCAATGTCGTCTGTCAAAGTTGAATGCGTTGTGCCAGTGAACTGCAAGATTGGAGAGTCGCCTGTATGGGAGGAAAAGGAAAAATCCCTTCTGTTTGTAGATATAACTGGCCAAAAGGTCCATCGGTGGAATTCTCTTACTAAAGAAGTGCAAAGTATTTCTGTGGGTAAGTAAAACAGTTTCATTTTAATAAGCCAAATGTTTGCCTTTGTTCTTGAATATTTAATGTTCTAAAGGTTAAGTGATAGAAAGAAGCATGTTAATAGTTGAATACCACTAAAAACCATCATGGTATCGTGGATGGAGGATCAGGCTGGCTATTGTGAAACACTACATTATAACTTTCAAAGGAAAGTTATCAAAATGGTTAGGTATACAGTTATTATTTTTTTGCTACTGCCATTTTTTCTCTCCTTAATCCCTCCTAATCTCCTTAATGTTGTTTCCAGATGTCCCAGTGAGCACTGTATCACTTCGTAAATCTGGAGGCTACATTATTACAAAGGGAACCCAGTTTGCAGCTCTCGACTGGAAAAAGAAATCCATTACCACAATTACTGATGTGGAGAAGGATAAACCCAACAACCGATTCAATGATGGGAAAGTGGATCCTGCAGGAAGACTAATTGCAGGTAACTAGGTTTTAATTCAATCCATTAAAAAATATTCATTTTTTTTCCCCTCAAGAAATTGTATCCTTTGTAAGATGGTAGTTTCTAGTTCCCTGCAGTAGAACCTTGCTCTCTGCTACTCCTTCCATAGGGAAGGCTGACTTGCTGAGGAGAAAATGAGGTCCTACATTTACACTTCCATATCATTAATCACACAGGTTATTTGATGGATGGAATGGACAAATGATGAAGAATTTTTGGCAATGTCTAAGTCAAATCTTGTGGCTTATGTATTTGCATCAGACTATAAGTCATATAATAGTAGCCTTTTAGGATAATGTCATTCTGGGACATCCTTTTGGTGTCACTGTGGTTTGCTGCAAATTTCATTGACCATTACACTAATGACCAGGAGTTGTATCAACTCTGCCGCTATTATAGTTACTTGCTGTGCTGTGTGCATATGATCCTATCTGCCTACCCAGTTCCAGGTGCTGGTACATTTTTCTTTTCTCCATAAAAACATTTTCAATGGGGATAGCTTGAATTTGAAATCGTTTTAATTTTAAAATCTTTCCTGTACTTTTTTTTACTCAAGTCTACTCAGGGACTATTTCTATCACCATAGAAAATTTCAGCAAACAATATTAAGGCATTAAATTGTTAATTTACAAGGTACTTGTAATTTGTTTCACAGGTAGTCTACTTCTGCAAAACAAACTTATCTTCCATTCTCCTCACCTCATCCTGGTTTAAATACTGTAGTTTATCCAATCCCTATCTATGATTAAATGAACTACCATTCATGAGAGCTTAGTTCTTTTAATAAAATGTGTCACAGTCTGAAAAAGTGCTACAAGACTCCTCTGGCTTTGTGGAGTTTAAAATATGTCTTCCAATTTGATTATGATTAGAGTTTAATAGCACCATTCCTTGCCTAAAAATTGAACTTTATACATAGGAAGATTAAAAGACAGACTCAGTTTTCATATTTATGATAGATAGATAGATAGATAGATAGATAGATAGATAGATAGATAGATAGACAGACAGACAGACAGACAGACAGACAGATAGATAGAATTCTTTATTGGCCAAGTGTGATTGGACACACAAGGAATTTGTCTTGGTGCAAATGTTCTCAGTGTGCATAAAAGAAAAGATACATTTATCAAGAGTCAAGAATCATCAGGTACAACACTTAATGATAGTCATAGGGTACAATAAACAATCAAATCATACTAGGAAACAGTCAAAAAATATCATAAGGATACAAGCAACAAAGTTACAGTCATACAGTCATAAGTGGGAGGGGAGGGGTGATAAGGAGTGATGAGAAGATTAACAGTAATAGTAGTGCAGAATTTATAAATAGTTGAACAGTGTTGAGGGAATTATTTGTTGAGTTTAAAATATGTCTTCCAATTTGATTATGATTAGAGTTTAATAGCACCATTCCTTGCCTAACAATTGCATTTTATACATAGAAAGATTAAAAGACAGGCTCAGTTTTCATATTTATGCATACAGGTAGCCCTCAACTTATGATCAAAACAGTGCCCAAAATTTCTGTTGCTAAATGAAATGGTTAAATGAATTGTGCTCCATTTTACGACATTTCTTGCCACAGTTACTAAGTGAATCACTACTGTCGTTAAGTTAGTAACCTGGTTATCTAGGGAATCTGACTTCCCCATTGATTTTGCTTGTCAGACAGTCGTAAAAGCATGAACCTGGGACTCTGCAGCCATCATAAATATGGGTCAGTTGCCAAGCATCTGCCCTTTGATCACATGACCATGGGGATCTTGCAATGGCTATAAGTGTGACAAATGGTCATGTGTCATTTTTTCCCCTGTGCCATTGTAATGTCAAATGGTCAATAAATGAAATGCTGTAAGTCGAAGAATACTTGTATTTGTATTATGGACAGGCCACTGAGAAGAAAAGAAGCTGATTGATCCCAATTAATCATGAGGCGAAGCTGAAGCATTTTATCTATCTTCTCTTTTAGTCAGCTAGATTAACAGGGGTCTCCAACCTTGGCAACTTTAAGATTTGTGGACTTCAATTTCCAGAATTTCTCAGCCAGCAAAGCTGGCTGAGAAATTCTGGGAATTGAAGTCCACAAGTCTTAAAGTTGCTAAGGTTGGAGACCCCTGAGCTAGAACATCTGCCAAAAATTCAGGAGAGGAAGTTCTAAGAAAGGTCAAAGAAAGAGGCTGTGCTCTCCCTCCTTTCTGGTTTTGAAATTCTGCAGTTTAGGTCCACACAGAACAAAACATCATCCTATATAATCATCCTAACAGCTGAAAGGCTTTTGGCATTTGTTTAGGGTCAATTGCCTTGCTTCTGCTTTTAAAGATGTAGGTAAGGAAGTTGTGGAGGAAGAGATGTAGCTCTTGAATAATGGATGGAAACTGAACAAGGAGAGATTTAACCTGGAAATAAGGAGAAACTTTCTGACAGTGAGAACAATCAACCAATGGAACAGCTTGCCCTCAGAAGTTGTGGGAGCTTCATCACTTCAGACTTTCAAGAAGAGATTGGACTGCCATTTGTCAGAAATGGTGTAGAGTCTCCCGTTTGGGTGTGGGGGTTGGACTAGATGACCTACAAAGTCCCTTCCAACTCTGATTATCTGTTATCTGTTAGCTACCAAGCAGCATCCATGAACCTTGAATGAGCACCTCAGCATTTTGTGGGCATGAAAAGATGTGATTTGTCCACTCCCCTTACTTTTCCATTCTGTCTTAGGAAAGGTGACATCCAACTAGCATCTTTTCTCCTCCTGCTGTGCTCTGTTATCTTTCCCTGCTAATTCTCTGGTTCTCACAGGTACAATGTCTCAGGAGATTCTTCCTGCGGTGGTTGAGCAACACCAGGGCTCGCTCTACACTCTCTTTCCCAACCATTCGGTGGTGAAACATTTTGACCAGGTGGACATCTCCAATGGTTTGGATTGGTCTCTGGATCACAAAACCTTCTTCTACATCGACAGCCTTTCCTATCGCGTTGATGCCTTTGATTATGACCTGCAAACCGGGAAGCTGTGTATGCCTACTTTCCATGTTTTGAAATGCATAAAAAAATTGTTTTTTGAACACCATTTTAAAAATGTTGCTTTTTCTCTCTCTCCCACGCTTGGTGTAGTGGTTTAGGGACCAGGCTAGAAACTGGAAGACTATGAGTGGCACACACATTCTATTGTAATAGAATGCTTGGAGTCACTTCATTTTATGTAAACATCCAATTGATTTTACATGTTTACATCTCTTACAACTGTTTAAAAGCACAACTTTAACTTTTATTGGGCATATTAGAAATGACTGTAGTTTCAGCAACATAGTTTTCCCTATCACAAGGATAGGGGATGAGATATAATCTATGTGTATTAACACACCACACCACACCACAACACACAAAACACAACATTAACATAAAGCACAACATAGCACACATCTGCTTGCAACTCCTTAACTCCAGAAGTATGAGGTGTAAAGGTTTCCCCAGCTGTGGTCATCTGGTTGTTCATGCATGCAATGGCTTCACTTCACCGATAGCCACGCTAGAGTGTCATCATTGCAGGTATGTACATGCACAGAGTTGGAGAAGCTTTTGAAGCAGCTATTCTGAGCCTTCCTAAAGATCCAGGGTTTTAATATTTTTAGGAGGTATGCATTTTGTGATAGGCCTCTTTAAGATGCTTGGTGCAGCCCATACAAAACGTGCACTCTTTAATAAAGAAAACAGTAGGCACTAATATCACTGCTCTATTTTCTTCCCTTTTACAGCCAACAGTGCCATGTATGCTCTATCTCTTCTCCCTTTTTAGCTACTGCTAAGCAGACCCAAAGTCTCCCTTTGCCATCTTGTGATTGCTTACCATAATAACATTGTTTTATTCTGTAGTATAAAGGTAAAAACTACAGTTAATAAAAAAAAAAGGAATAAATTATTCTGGGGGGGGAATCGAACAATGAAAAAAACCCCGTCCTCTTTTAGGGGGATGGGTTGGGATGCTCCTGGGTGAGCCAGGTATCATGGCTGTAAGCCACCCAGGGTCACTTAATAGGGGAGATGGGTGGCATCAGAATTAAATAAAGAAATAAATAGCATAGCTACAAGGAGAAAACATTCAGCTAGGCCATTTCAGGAACATAGCCCTGCACAGATCAATAGATCCACTGTCATAGATACAGCATATCCATGCTAAATTGAACTTGATACTCCAAAACAAATTTCTCGTCCATATTTGTTTTTCCATTTATGCAGTACAGTTAATCTTACCCATAATATAAACATACATGCTGGAAGATAGTGTCAGTAATTCAGAGAAGTTGACTTCTGGCCATCCTTTTGCTACAATATTACATTACAAATAAACCCTGGTTCTCCAAGACTCCTATTTACAGTTTAGAATGAACCCAAGGACTCCTTCCAAGATAAATAAGTTGATGATGTTTTCCTTTGCATTTCTTCTTGTAAAAATATTACTTGGGAAAAATGTGGCTTAGCTTGTAATGTCTTTCAATGTCTTTTCTTCAGGCAACCGCAGGAGCATGTACAAATTGGAAAAGGAAGATTCCATTCCTGATGGGATGTGTATCGATACAGAGGGGAAGCTTTGGGTGGCCTGTTATGCTGGAGGACGGGTGATCCGTATAGATCCTGAAACAGGTTAGCAATTGTGGGGAGTGGGCTGGGGAATCCACTGATAGTCCACATCTCTTTCCTGAGATCAAGCTGGTTGGTGTAAGGGGTCTGGAGCAAACACAACATTTGTGTTTTATTAGTTCCAGAATATTCCTTTGCTCATGTAGAGATATTTATACATTATAATGTATAATGCATAAAAAGGCCTTATCTGGAATGCAAAGCAGCTCATGCTTTAGTTAATGTAAATTAACTAATATAAATGGAAAATCTTCGGTGATTGGTGAAACCTCGATGATAATGTCATCCCACAAATGCCATGATCTATAGCAGAGGTCGCCAACCTTTTGGACCTCAGGGACCACCAAACTCATAATTTTAAATCCCATGGACCAGAGACCCTGGGAAAATCCCAAAAAAGTCTGGAGGAAAATTCCCCACCCCGTTTTCCTACCAATCGATCATTCTTCATTTGGGATCCCAGGATACTGTCTCCAGCTCTGTTCTCAGGGGAGAGAGAGAGAGAGGGAGAGACTTTTGGCTTCATGCAAGGAAAGCAGCAGAAGCAGCAGAAGTCTTTCTTTCTCTGCCCCAAATTCCACCAGAAATGAGTCTTTGCTGGTGCAGCCTCTTAGAGCAGGATGCCATTTCTGGTGGGGTTTGGGGGAGAGAAAGAAACTTTTGCTGCTTTCCTTGTGTGCAGTCAAAAGCAGAAGAAAGAAGCAGAAAGAAGCAACCCAGTGGCTGAACGAGGTGTGTGGGGCATGTGGGGCAAGTTCCCCCTCCGCTCTTTTCCCCCTCCCCACCTCGTGGTGTTCACAATGCAAGCGATGCAAGCTTTGTGTTCCCATGGGCCATGTGGGTGGTGCAGCCTTGTGTTCCCATTCAGCCTGGAATAATTGCTTTTGGGGGTGCTTTGGGAGTGACATTTCTCTGTGGACCACCAAAATTTTCTCCTGGACCACCAGTGGTCCCCAGCCCACTGGTTGGAGCTTCCTGCATGTTATCCAAAAGGTAGATTTAGGTGCAAAAAGCCCTGGGTTCAATCCCTGACATCTCCAGGTAAAAGGATCAAAAACTTGAAAGTCCTCTCTGTGCTCAGTGAGATTCTGTAGACTTTGCCAAATAGGTAAAGAACTTGCTGTGGCTAACTCACCATGGCCAACTCACTGTGGACAACTAGCCATGGCCAACTCACTGTGGGACAAGAGGTATGCTAATATCAAAGAAATGGTAGAATAGAATCATTAAAGGAAGGATGCAAAAGAAGAGACAGAATAAAATGTGAATGACAAAAATTAAAATATTTTTTTATTTATTTTTAAATAATTATATACAATTGTTAAATTGTCCCTTGGTGAGTTGTCCCCTGACGAGTTGGCCATGCTGAGTTGGCTGTGGCGAGTTATCCCATTCCATCGTCTGGCATTCAGCATACAATATTCCTACCTTACATAGTGAAAGGACAATCAGACAACTGGTTCAAAAGGCCCGTTTCTCACAAATGGATCACATTCATGCACAATGCATCCAATCCGTATTTTGCCTTGGAAAAATTGCAAAGACTGTGAAGCTCTTTTTTCCAGCTTTAGGTCCTACCTTTTATTTCTTTAGGATGGAGTGTGCAACCTGCAGATTTGCACGTAGATTCTAGCACACCATTTGCAGCCCTCACTCCCTCATTTTTGGTGAATGGGTGTTTACTTTTTTCCAAATTTAAGGAGGGAAATGTATTGGTTCCACTCCGCTGGCCTGCTGGCCTTTGTTAAGGAAACAACCTGATTTATTTTAACAGGAAAAAGAATTCAGACAGTGAAGCTGCCTGTAGACAATACAACTTCTTGTTCTTTTGGTGGATATGATTATTCAGAACTGTATGTCACTTCAGCGACTGCTGGACTGGAGGAGTCTCTCATACGACAACCCCAGGCTGGTGGTGTTTTCAAGGTAATCAGAGAGCTGCGGTGCATTTGAAATCATGATATGCATGATACAGTGGTTGCAGGGAGCAGCATTTGGTTAATTTAACTGAGGGGCATCTGGGGGTCAATAAAGTCAAGATGGCAACTATTCTAATAATTTTTACTACCACCCCTCGCTAATCAAAATCAGTGTTTTTGATTTAATGTGAGGTTCTTGGTATTCTCGGAGTTTGGCTGTTTTCTTGCAGACATTTCATCACGCAACTAGGTATCATCAGTACACTGATGGAGAAGGCAGAGCACTGATAATGATACTAGTTGGGTACTGAAATGTCTACAAGAAAACAACCAAGCTCAGAGTCAAGGACTTAGAAATAAGGAGAATTTTTCTGACAGTGAGAACAATCAACTGATAGAACAGCTTGCCTTCAGAAGCTGCGGGAGCTTCATCACTGGAAGCTTTCAAGAAGAGACTGGATTGCCATTTATCAGAAATGGTGTAGGGTCTCCTGCTTGGGCATGGGGTGGGACTAGAACAGGGGTCGCCAACCATTTGGACCTCAGGGACCACCAAACTCATAATTTTAAATCCCAGGGACCAGTAACCGGTTCTGTGGGCATGACCTAATTTGTGGGTGTGGCTTGGTGGTCATGTGACTGGCTGGGCATTGCTTGTATGTAAATATTATAAATATTTATATAACTATTGAATTTCTTATTTTAAAAAAGCAACTTTTACCCAAAATCAGGCAAAGCAGGTAGGCAGATTGAATTGCTCACAGAATCACAGATTCATTTAGAGATCTATCTATCTGCCATCGGCTAGCTCAGTCTCTAATTTGCTTGCTGTGAGTCTGCACTGAATAATAGAACCTTCAGTCCTAAGGGAGGTTCAGCTGTGCTTAAAAGCAGAGCCGAAGATCTAAAGACTAGCTAGAAAGCAAGAAATCCAACCATTTCCTGCTTCCTAGCTAATCTAAATCTCCTGGCACAGCAGAACAGCTGATGGTCGGAAAAAGGAAAAATAGCAATTTAGTAGGCAAGTTTGCTGGGTAAGGAGTGAATGGGCGGGGAGGGTTCCCGCGGGCAATGTCAGCGGTCTTGTGTTTCTGCCCAGCTTGGATTAATTGCTTTGGGGGGGGTGCTCTGGGGGTGAGATTTCTCTGCGGCCCACCAAAATTTTCTCGTTGCCCACTGGTTGGCAACCGATGGACTAGAAGACCTACAAGGTGCTTTCTAACTCAATCTGTTCAACCCTGGTTTACAAATAATCTCTTCCCTTGATCTTTGTTTTAACTGACTGATTTAAAAGCTAAATTTTCACTAAGATCTTTTTTTAAACAGCATTCATTTAAAAAAACATACTTTAACAAAAGTCAAGTTTCAATATGATTTTTTTAAATGTACATACAAAAGAAGCAGCTTGGGTGTTGTGAAGAATCCAACTGAGCATTTCAGATTCAATGTTATATCTTTAAATACCTTTTTAATTTTGCTTTCGGGTTTAGTATTAGAACAGGGCTATCAAACCCACGCCTGGTTTAGCGAAGAGTAAAAAAGTCCTGATACATCATGTGACGCCGCGGTGATGATGCGAGGTTGACATCCCTGGATTAGAATGGTTGATGGTTATTTTGTTTTGAGTTTTGAGGTGTTTTGCGTATTATTTTTTGTTTTCTTTTCTTTTTACTATTTTTTTGTCTCCTGTCCTTGGATGTAAGCCATACAATATCATCTGGGAGCCAGAAACTCTTTAAATCTAATTAAATGAATGAACATATGCAGGCAAATATTTGCTTTTGAAATAAAAACTGAGTTTATTAGGAAAGATGTGACAATTTTGAAAGTACCATGTTCATATCCTATTTTTTAAAAACAGATTACTGGCCTTGGGGTGAAAGGAATCCCACCATATTCATATGCAGGTTAATGCATACCCTTGAAGACGCAAATATCAAAACAAGGACGGAAGGAAATGACAGCATTGCATCACTGCACAGTTTATCTATCTCTTTTTTAGAAGCTATAAGAGGATGGTAGACCAACAAGTATAGGAAGGAACTTCCAAGCCATGAATTCAGATTTGAATTGTGCCCAATTTGCTTTTTTATTATAGCTAACTAAAAAAATATTTTTCCTTTCTGTTAAATCGATATTTTTAATAAAGTTTCAAATATATGGATATTGTATATGTGTGAATTTATCAATTTGCTGATTGAAAAGCTAATGTATATTTAGCTATAACATGAAATACCTGCTGCCAGTTTTCCCAACTTTGCTCCTTTCTTTTGGCTGGGGAATTCTGGGAATTGAAGTCCACAGGTCTTAAAGTTGCCAAGGTTGGATACCCCTGATCTAGATAACAGAACTGAAATGTTCCTATTCATAGTTGAACAGGACAGCAGAGTTGAAGTGCAGAGAGGAGGGTGGGAGAAGCAAAACAACAGAGACGGTGTTTATGGCAACACAATCAAGCTCCACCATTTGTACATACACAGATGTTGCATGCATATATAAAAACCTTACTTTATTATTGCTCCTAAAAATGCAAAATTACTAACTCAGATATTCTTCTATGTTAGACATTCCTGTTTGCCTGTGCCTGAATAAAAACACTTCTCCATCCTATTATAAGTATTTGTAGACATACAGATCATTTAATGAAAATATTATTGATAATAAAGTGTTATTTTAATTTCTAACAATTTAATTATTATTAACCAATTATTTAAGGAGATTATCAACGTTAAAAAATTAGTGTATTCCATTTTCTTTCAGGTTTATAATACCACTGCAGAAAACTTAATTTGAAGAGTCTGACCAAGAATTACAGTATTAGCAAACATGTTTTTTTAATGTCTGTATTTGCATACCACACCACAAATTACAAATTACTGAACCACATATTAGCCTACAGTTAGTTTATGGTTCAATGTATTGTCCACATAATTATGAATCAATCATTATTTAAATCATTGAGTAAATCATAATTAAGCTTACCAAACCAGCCACTGCCTTGAGTAAAAAATTACTCATGGCTACTGTGTTATTATTTTCCATTAATTAACTTAGGTCTTATGTTTTGATATGTTGAATGTGTGCCTTTATGAATATTCTTAAATGTTACTTGTTTATTGGTATTAATAAGCTGATTCTTCTCACAATATCCAAGACTAATCAGATGATTTTTGGTGCCCAAAAGATATTCCAGCAGATCTCTCCTTTCTCTGGCTGTGAAAGCGCAATCATTACAGTATGGCATATTAAAAACTTATAATTTGCTGCCATTTCATTTTTCTGAAGGAAAGGGTGAAAAAGTTGAAGAAACAATGAGAAATCAATTATAAATAGAGGATTCCCCTAAAATTCCATGAAAGAAATACTGCAGGACAATTGCACAGTAATAATCTTGCAAGGAATCAACCTGTCTTTTTAGCTCTGTTCTTGAAGGGCTGTATCTAGACTCAGTCTATAGCAGCAAGTTTCCATAAACTAAGTATGTCTATATAATTTTTGGAAAAATAATCTTGATTAATATGCATAACTTTACAATCATGGCCTTTGCTTTTACAAACACAATATGTAATTATTATTAACAGCTAAAACAATATATTCATCTATGCTACTAAGGTCTAGGCTCAATAACATGACAAAACTTTCTTCAATGTGCAATTTTACTTTCAAATTCTTATTGGCAACATAACAATAATCTAAGAGAAACAAGTGATTACAATTTGGTTTTAAAATGGAATCAAACTTTGCTCAATTGAAATGTTATCTAACAAAAAGTATAATTCTGCTTCGCTACGAAACTATGTGGTAGGGCTTAGTTTTTGGGGAGGAAAATAAGGGGAAAAATTTATGTCTCTGCTTACCAGCATCCATCAGTATTCATCTGGCTAGCGTCCCATCAGTGTGTGAGAATTGAGGGCTGTTTGGAAACTGAAGCAGTATTTGTTGTGTGAGCAAGGAGACAGCAAGGTTCCTGGGCGTGCCTTAGCTCAACTGTTCTGAACTAAAGTTGCTTGGTGCTGTGAAACTAAAACTGAAACTCCTCTCCTCTTCTTGTGTTTTGCATTTGGAACAGATTTCTTTTCAGGTGGGGAGAGGGAGTAGAACTCCTTAGCATCAGAGCGTGTTAATAATATACAAAATACTAATGCTCTGATGGTCATTTCGAAAAATCCTTTCTTAGTGAGCACCTAGAAGCCAAGAGGAACATACGTGCCAAATTTCAAGTTTGTAGACTTTCCGGTTCTGGAGATTTTGTGATGATGTGTGAGTGGTATTTTGCTTTTATATATAGATAGATAGATTCAGATTGAAAAGAATTCTGAGGCACTCAAAAGCTTGTTCATTATGCTTTAATATTTTGGTTACATCATATATATAATTCTGGACTAACTGTGGATTTTTGAATGCTCACCTAGGGTCATTTTTAACTAACATGATCTATATGTAAAGTTTGTAAATAACTAGTAATTAGATAATTAGATTTCTGTCGGTATATTAAAAGGAACATTTTCATATTGCGGGTAGTCCTTGAGTTATGACTAAAATTGAGACTGGATTTCTGGTTATAAGTTGAGGTAAGTTACAGACTTATGACTGCAATTGAGACTGTCCCCAATTTGATGACATTTTTGTGGTGGTCATTAAGCAAATCACCACAGTCATTAAGCAAATGTCACCCTCGTAAGTGCAAATCCATTCTTCCAAATGCTACAACAATCATAAAGGCAAACTGGTTGCCAAGCACTGGAAATGTAATAATATGATTGTGGGGTGGGGGGAAGGGAACACAACATTTTATGACTACCCAAAGTGCTTTATGGGCAAAAAAGTACTATTACCTGCTGTAATTTCAAATGATCATTAAGTGATTAATCATAAGTCAAGAACTATCTATAGTATAAAATTGTAAACCATAAAAGCTACAGAATATAGACTTTTCCTAAACAAGGCTAGTATTACTTCCTATTTACTTCAGCTATGCTTTTAACTAATCTAGAATTTTTAACAGTAAAGATAGTTTTCTGTCCTAATGATGATACCTGTCTTGTCTCTCTACTAACAGAGCAGAATTTAAAACTAAGTTTCAGGAGACTTTAAATTTCAGGAGAATAGCAACAAAATAGGGTCTGGGCTTTGGGCGGAGAAATTGGACATTCTTCCCCAGTAAGTTTTGGTTGCATTAGCCAAATTTATTCTGACCTTCAAAGTTGTCCAAGTTTTGTTCTAGCTAGAATTTGGCATATTATAGCACAATTAATCTATTTTTATGGCATAGATTCACTGTTGGATAATAAGTACCTCTTGATTTTTTTTTGTATCATTCTAAAAGCCTTCCCTAAAAATGAAGTCATTCTGGGGTTTTTAATGTTTATTTTGAAGAATTAAGTAGACAAGCTGGAGAAAGGGAACAGTGTTGTATACTGCTTTCACATTTTTATTACTATAATTATTAATCCAGTCAATAAATATTAATTAGTAAGACTAATTAATAAGGCTTATTAATAATCTTGTGTTTATTGAGCACAGTTACACTATGCAATGTGTGACCTTCCGGTTTTAACTGGACTGAAGCTGCAATTGTGTTTCACCATTGGTCAAGCCTATTTGGAATTAAATTCAATAGAGTCTGAAGGACATGTTGCTCTTCCTGTGTTTTTGAAAGCAAGATCGTGTCCCCTCTCTCCTCCCTTATTTTAATTAGCATTAGAACTCTTGGTGGTCCAAACATGCCCAGAAAATAGATCCCTTGGAGTTAAATTAGCTGCATGAAACCATTCAATGAAATTATTTCAGGATAATATTGCATTAACAATTGTTTTTTAAGTTTTGTTTGTTTTATTAGTATAATATATAAAAATTCCATTTCAATCGAACAGTATGTTGTCTGGGTACAATTATTTTTAGATAATCATAATCAATATTATATTAACACTTGTTGAAACTAGAATGTCTAATATCATTTCTGGAATGGAACTGAATAGAATTCTTTACTGGCGACCAAGTGTGATTGGATGGATACACCAAGAATTTGTCTCCGATACATAAGCTCACAGTGTACATATAAACATCAAGTAATAAGTCACATAGATCATAAATTTATTTTTATTTATAATTTGTTAAACAAAAATGAATAATATAAAAATAAAATAACAGGGCACATTAGTGCACTTATGCACGCTCCTTTACAGACCTCTTAAATATGAAGTGACGTCCACAGAAGTCAAGTTATGACTAAAACTGTGAAAATTTGTAGCTGAGACAATTGAATCAGGTAGATAATTCCAGACTTTGACAACTGTATTACAAAAATCATATTTTTACAGTCAAGTTTAGAATGGTTTATAGTGAGTTTCAAATGGTTGTTTGTGTGCATATTATTGCAATTATAACAGAAAAAGTCATTTACAGGTAAAACATTACTACATACAATTTTGTATGCAATACCTAAGTCTGACTGCAAGTGCCACAGTTCCAGGTTATCCAAACCAAGAATTTCAAGCCTAGTAGCATAGGGAATTCGATTATGTACAGAAGAGTGCAAAAGTTTTGTCGTAAAGTACTTCTGAACCCACTCGACTGTGTTAATATCAGATATATGGTAGGGATTCCAAACAGTTTAACAGTACTCCAAGATTGGTCTAACGTAGGTTTTATAAGCTCTAGTTAGCAATACAATGTTTCCAGAAAAGAAACTTCGTAGAATTAAGTTAACAACTTTTAGTGCTTTTTTAATAATACTGTTACAATGAACTTTGAGCATAGATCGTCAGAGATGAGCACACCTAGGTCCTTAACAAAGTGAGGGTCATCTGCTAGATCAATGCCACCTAGCTTATACTTGACATTCTGGTTACGTTTACCAATATGTAAGACAGAGCATTTATTAATCGAAATTTGAAGTTGCCAAATAGATGACCATTCAGACGCATAATGGAGATCACTTTGCAAAACAGATTTATCTGTAGTATTAAATAATTTTACATCATTGGCAAAAAGGACACAATTGCTTTTAAGATGATCACATAAGTCATTGATATAGAGCAGGAAAAGCGTGGATTCTAAAATGCTGCCTTGCGGAACACCCCTGTTAACTGATGCAGGATTAGACAGCAAGTTCCCTATTTTGACTTTCTGCAGTCTGTTAGACAAGAAGGCAGCAATCCACTTATGCAAA